TCCCCCCGCAACTTCGCCAACCCCAAAAGCCTCAGCGCCAACAAAGTCTTCGACTACCACTCCCAGAAGGAAGGCGGATTATGAAGGGGGTTCTTGCTAGCGTATTACTAATAAATGGGGTATATAAGAGATCATCTCTTAAATTACCTCTTTTAATTCATTATAACCTTTTCTCCCATATAAGACGAACCCTTTTCTGAAGCCCAACGTGGGGGGGGGGGGGGGGGGGATATTCTCATTCCATCATCTGAAGAGACTTTAAACTTCTTTTTCTTTTCAAGTCAATTAAAGATTGTATTATATAAAAGACTGAGATTATACACCCTAAAGCGTTTTAGTTATTGATTTCGGAGAACACATCCCCTACCATCAAGATCATCACTTCATGAATACAAGTAGTAAAGAAGTCCATCGAGAAAGAGATTTATCTAGAACGAGCTAAGTAATTCAATCAAACCTTACAACGATTCAATAGGAATACGAAATATCAGTTTTACGAGAAATCAAACTGCACGTCGCTGCCGCCTCGGAAAAGCGTCGAAAATATCTCTGAATCATTCTATGACCTCATTCTATATAAGGGGAAGGTACAATAGAGGAGTGTACGAAGTTACATTCAAGCAAAAGTAATTGATTGTGATAATAATATTAGTTTATTCGAATCAATCTGAACTCCAGTTGATCTATAGATAATTGATTCAAAAGATCTGGCTTTGAGTACCTAGGATACAGAATGAGATGAGATAGAACAATAGAATAAATGAAGTAATGAAGTAATAAGATGAAATAAGATAACAAAATAAGAAGAGATAATAAAGTAAGATGAAATTATGAAATAATAAAATAATGAAATGAGATGAGATAATGAAATAATAAAACAATATAATGAGATAGATTAAACTAATGAAATGAAATTAAATAATGAGATAAATAGAGATAATATATTAAAATCAAATAAGGAAATGAGATGAAATAATAGAATAAGATAAGAATTATAAAGTAGAATAAAATAAAACAATGAAATCAAATGAAATAACAAAATGAGATGATGTTAGAGTTGTAGTGTGAAAGAAGGACGAAGTTCTTATTATGCTATGTAGAAGCTATAAGGGCGGGCGGGATTTGGCCACGAATTATAATATATATGGATTAATGAAAAGGCATGTATTTTGAGAACGTTGGTAAATATGACAAGTGTAAGAGAACTCACTCCTGGAGGTATAGTTATATTCTAATATACATATGTATTTTAAACAAATTGTCATTATGGACTTGCTACCAATTGTTAGGGTTATAATGTGAAAAAAGGATGAAGTTCTAATTATACTATGTAGAAGCTATTTATATGTACCTCGGTACTCTGGTGCGCTAGTATTAGCGTACCAGATGAGATAATGAAATAAGTTGAGAGATCGAAATGAGATTAAATAAATGTAATAAATTAAAATAATATAATAAAATATACTAATAAAATAAAATGAAATAATGAAAAGAGATAGAATTTTAGAATTAGATAAAATAATGAAATAAGATGAGATAATAGAATGAAATGAGATATTAGAATGAAATGAGATATTAGAATGAGATGAGACATTAGAAGGAAATTTCAAGGTGAGAGACATAATAGATATACTTTTACTATTTTGAAATTCAAGAAAGAAAAAGAAAATAAGATTCGATATTCGTTTGTTTTCTCGCTTGTATATGACTGAGGAAATCTATAATATACAAGAGGACTGAGAGTAGACACGGTATAGATACTAATACACGAGTGAATAGAAAGAGTATATGAGCTAATAAACTATATAAAAATGATTTTACAAGAGTGAAACTCAGATATAAATGTGGGGAGAAATTCAGGTTGAAAAGGCATGTGAATCATCGATTGATTGGAGAAATAAATGGTCTGACAGAGAGAGGAGGTATATAAACCCCTCTAATCCTGAGGACTTTGCGTTCTCTATCTGCTATTATTTGAATTTCGATGATTGAAGAGTTAGGACGGGTGAGGAGTGTTGATTTTCTGGGTTTCTGGGGTTTGTTGTGAGGGTTTGTTACTGCGTACCTGGGTAGTTATTGCAGGTGCGTGAGATTAGATCATTTCTTGATACCTTTAAATTCGTCATGTTTGAATGAAAGAAGTCTTTTCATTGTTACTACAGTGATGCCATGATTCTTTTCCTGGTGAAAAGAGATATGTTTTCGTTGTTGATTCTCGTTATTGTCAATCAGTGGGTTTCCTCATCAATACCTGCGTACATCAAACGAAATGCCCGAGACCTTAATCTTGGGAGGGAGAGACTGCTCAGCGGGAAATTTCAAGAGATTCAGAGAGAAAGTTTGTTGATTTTCAATATCACCGAGGGAGCTTCCTTGCTTCCCCAACGTGCATTGAATGGCTGCGCTGTGCGTGGAGATTCAGAATGTTTGCGGATACATGATTTTTATACTACTTCTCTACCGGTGTTGGGATATGTGGGAAGATAGATGGATAGGAGGACTTGTACATGCGAAGATCGCGGGCTGTTGATTGACACTGCGAGGAGAGAGGAGAGTATAGAGATCCATCCTGCGTTCCAAGGCTTGGATCTGCTCGATGGTTTAGTAAATGATTATTCAAGAAAGATACAAAGATATCGGCACTAATAACAGATTCCATCAACCTGCCTCTCAGAAATCAAAGACCATCACTAGTGGGTAATTACAGTATTAGCGAGGATATATATATATACTCCTCGAAGCAAACAAAGAAACGCGATTGCCACAGGGTAACAGCGGGTGGTAACAGGGTTACACAAAAAATGACGGATAACATACAACAGAGAAAAGGCAAATAATAAGAATGAGACTCTGTAATACTATAAAGGATATTCACAATATATATATCATTAACTCATAATTTGAAAATAAAATATTATATTAATAGTCTTCGAAAGTATAGATTTTACAAACTATATTTATAATCGATATAATGAGATTTTATTATAGTAAACTCAAATAACCCTCAAAAGGAAATAGATTTTCATTATTTTTCTCTATCTATTTTATATGATTAAATACATACAAGTGTATTATACAATTAGTATAGCTTAGTTATAGATAGACTGAATCGATTATGAATTTACTACTACTACTATAGTAGTAGTAGTAAATTCATAATCGATTCGATCTATATAGCTATGCTAAGACCATGCGATGCGCCTGTATCTGTGTCTAATTGAATGAAGTAGATAGGAAAAAGATATAAAAACCTACTCCCCCCCCGGTGTCCCACCGAGTCGCCTATGTTGTATACCTGTCCTGTCCAACACTTATAGCCCGTGATACCTGTACTTTCGAAGACGATGTCGTACAGCTACTACTATATATACCCCCTAATTATCCCGTTATTTACTTGATCATCATGGAGTGTAATGCATATAGATGGAGAAGAAGGACTCACTTATCCTCTACTTTGTCTCGATATACAGAAATTCTGATCCCCGGTATGGTTCTGGAGCTGAGATCTTAGATTATGTGGATTTTTGTTTGTTTGTATAAGAGAATGGCAATGGAAAACTGTTGAAGTTTATTATTATTATTATCATCATTGTCATTTTTGTTGATGATTAGGATAAAATGACCGTTGAGAATACAAGAATTTAACATGCTGATATTGAGAACCAGAGATAGACTTTAAATTGATCAAAGAATCTCAAATCCATTCGGTATATTATCTCATGGGTACTCTCAAGATCCGAAGGTTCCTTCGATTGTGTATGTTGCCCTTCAAAACACTTTTGGGTGATGCAGAGACGAAGTATTGCTTTTATATGTACAGGATGATTCAGATATCACACATCATTTCTGGCTGTCCTAGCATTATCCCACTGCTCGATCAACAAATGTTGCTCCATCATGCACAATTAACTGCTATATATACTCCCCATTCTTCCTATTCCAAACGGAATTACATAGCAAGAAAGATGACGAACAGGCTTAGGATTTTTGAGCTCGAAATCCATTTAGATTGATCTTCCGTGAGAGGGATTTTCGTTCTCACTGGAACTATCGTTGAGAAATCTACATTACTCATTTCCACTGCCGTTTAAAGAATGACTCGTGGAAATTCTATACTAGTGTTCCCAGGTGATTTTTCAAGCAAATTCCCAGATAGCAAGCGCGGGATATTTGAATAAACACTGTCTGCTTTTGGTGACTTATGCTTCTGGCAAAAGATACTGTGGTGGTTGATACGCCACTGATCACAACGAGACACACAGAAGGTAAGGAAATACTAGCCTGGAACACTACTTCCTGATGTGCTAATAGGAGAGATTTTTGGCAATTGCTTTGCTTCTACAGCAAAAGAGCTTTTAAGTCAATTGTCTACTCTAGTGGAGAGAATCTATTACAACATCTCAACTGTAGGCACTAGCTCAGAATCATTTGTTGCAGACTATGCCTGTGCTTCTTCCAAGGAGTTTAATTCTTACATTGATCTGGCGATTCAAAGTCTTTCATTTTTCATTCTTCACTGTCAATAATGTTGTCATTACTTTTTCTGCCAATACTCTCATTGGTCTTTCACACAAATTTAGTCTTAAGACTTAGTTCAACCCTCATCTAGCATCACATCCAACAAGCGGAAGTTCCGTCAGGATGGCACGGAATCAATCTGAAATTTTTCACTTTCATCACAATATAACAGTGTTTCTTCAGATAAAAGTTTCGTCATCATTATCTTTGAACTGTTCCTTCCAGGATCGGACCGTCGACAGTATTGTCGAGTTTCTTGCTCGCAACCAGTATGTGTCCTCCTCGCTGCATCTGAGCTCCATCAAAGTCTGATCAAACAGTACTCGAAGAATGCGAACCTTCCACCATTTGTAACCCAGTCTATCATTGTGTACGTCCCCCAGTTAGCACTTCTGACTTCCTCCTGGCAAAGATCAAATTGCCATCCGAATCCCGAACGCTGACGCCCCATCTCACTGATGATACCACATATGAACTCAGCTTCAAGCGATGATACCGAAGCTGCGTAAAACCACCGGCCACCTATTCTCATCCCGAGTCGTCGTCTCACTCCGATGGGTCGAAGTTCTCCGGGGACTCATCACCATGATATGGCACTCCTTTATTTGCTGTAATTCATGTTGCGACTCTTCGAGCTGCATCGCCCATTCTTGGAGGATTCTAAAGTTTATTCGTTAGTCTAACTCTCATGTCATATGTATACTTGCTAAATTTTTATATCAAGAATCATACGCGGGGTTGTGGAATCGGGAGAGGGGAAATTATTCTTCAGTAGAATGGAAAATAGTAGTAGTAAATTCTTAATCGATTCAGTCTATCTATGAATGGAGAATATGCATAAAGATGTACATACTGAATTTGAGATCGCTCAATGGGCCATCGACGCCCGCGCATGATCTCTAATTGGTGGCTGACTTGTTGAATATTAGAGCGGCTATCAAGGATGCAGAGTTCGAGGACGAAGAGTCTGTCCGGATATGATAGGTGGTTAAGTGTGTCGGCGAGACGGTACCTTTGGTAACTGTCCATTTGTTGCGTTATGATAAATAAGAAGAAGTTATTGTTCAATTGGAAGGATTGAGATGCTGTAAAAAGTCTTGGTGAAGATATAAGGATGAAGGGGTGGATGGTTATCGAGAGATATCTATTGTGGTAGATTAAATGTTTTGTGTTGAGACGTGATGAGGACTAGAGGTATCTGTGTGAGGAACAACTTGAAACTTTGAGGGTCTCTTTCAATCGAGTCGAAGCCGATCATATATAGATATAGATAAGATCTTGATCTCAGGTAGAAGTGTTAAAATAATACAGAGCTAATACAATACAGAGCCGTGGTAATTGTGGTAGTAGTGGTATACTTTAGTTCACTGTACGACTGAAAGAACCAACGATGATCATATTAATGCTAGAAGTTGTCAAAACAAGATCTAAGAGATAAGAGACAACGAATAAAAAATTAGTAGGTAGATGAAATAAAAGAAGGAGAAGAAGAGAACGGTAGAGCAGACGATGAGATCACAGTATGTCTTAACTCGCTATCATTGGCTTAACAATACTATTCAAAAACAAAAAAAAAGTAAATATCCAGGCCCCTTTCCGGAATCCTTCAAATTGAAACCGTGAAATTGATATATTGGTGTATTGAGACACTGCAGAAAGCATTTCATCGAATAAATTCAATACTGAGCCCTCGCGTATATTCACTCTATATCAATATCACTGTTCCCATATCTATTTTTGATTAATTCATTCTTTGCGGCCTTTACGATCTTTATACCCTGAGCCTTATTCCACAAACTCACATCAAATTAACACCCACGTAGCCAACTAACAAACAAGAAATTTCACACTCACTCCCTCACGAGATCCTGCGCCTCCTCCAATGGCCTTTTTTCAAGATCTAATACAGTAGTTCATAGTAGTCTACAGCAATCTTTTCCAATCTTCAACTCTTTTCAAATCTTCAAGTCCTCATATTATTGAATTGCAATCTGGACTAAACTATTGAATACCCTATTTGATAATTTTGAAGTTGACGAAGTAAAATGAAGAATACACACACATGAACAATACAGGACTGGAATCCCTCCAGAAATGAGTTATGAGTATCTGTTTATTCATAAAGAAAGTATAATTAATCAATTTAGTCTGTTTTATTAATAATCTTTTATATGATTTGTTTTATTCTATTCTATTATAAATCAATTTGATAAGAGAAATTAGAGGCCTGCGAGCCCTCGAACTCCTTGCTTTTTAAGAAAGTATAATATAATAATTTTTTTAAAAAGAAATTTATTCAATACTCATAGACAAAGTCAATTTACTATTGAATTATTTTTATTTTTTTAGAATCTTCATTTAAACATTTTATTTTTATTTTATAATATTTATGAATTTCTTTTTTTCGTTCGAATTAATAATCATATTATTAAATTACAAAAGCTTTATACTCAAAATAATTACATTGATATGAACCTTATTATACTCAATATATTCTACTTCATATTAATTATATAAGCTTCAAAACTAATACGCTAATACTAGCGCGCCAGAGTACCTAGGTACATATAAATAGCTTCTACATAGCATAATAAGAACTTCGTCCTTCTTTTACACTACAATCGTACCAACAACTCTTAAAAGAATTTAACTTCAATTTATTATATAAACCTTAATATTAAAGCTAAAATTATAAAAATTAAATCAATTAAAAGCCCTTAGCTTATTCTATATAATTATCTCTTTTTATTTTTTCATTCAATTAAAATCAACTTTAATAAGATAATTTGAATGAATTTTATTAGAAAAGATTATTTTAAACTATAATACTATAACGCTACAATACTATAGTATTAAGAATATCATATATAAGGGTTTAGATCAATTACATCGCTTGAATCGAATCTCAGGCTTAGCGAATCAACTTTTATATATATATATATAGTACTTCGGTCTTCGCGAATAGTAAGATTATCAAGGAGATAAACCTCTAATAATAATATAATTTTATAACATAAAATCATATTATACATAGATTAGTCATCAACATATCTCTTAATTAGTAAGACATTAACAAGGAATTTAGTATAATATAGTTCATTAGCATGTAGACTATATTAGTATATAAATTACTTCGAAAATATTAAAATCAAGGTTTTCTTGATATTTATATTTTAATAATTAATCATTATTATTTAAGAGAAAAATCATAAAAAATCATAATAAAAATGAAATATTTATAATATTTAAGTTTTCTTCTAAACAATTCATTTTAACTCGAAATTGCTAAGCTTTATATTACAGACTCTTTTTTTCTTTAATAATTTTATAAGTAATTGAAATTTTAAAAAAAGAATTAGATTTTTGAGATAATTAAAAAATTAGATCTTATATAAAAGGTTTTTGAAAAATTCTATTTGTTAATAAAGAAGGTGTATGATTATATACAGATGAGTTTTATATATAAAATGAAGTAATCTATATGATAATCTGACCTATATACTGAAGAACTATGTTACTTATTATAGAATTTCATAGTATTACTAGTTGATAGTTATTTACGAGCTATTAGTCGACTGATATTCGAAAATAAAGAATTACATACTACTATTTCAGGTCCGCCTGAATGATTTCAGTAGTAAATTGATTCGAGAGATGAAATATATATAGGCATATGATTAATATACTCGATTTCATAACTAGCTTTTAAAACTTGACTTTTCTATACCTCATTAAAAAATCGAAATGTTATATTTCTATCATTCATTTTATAATAACTTTATTAATTTAATACTGATTTTAATAAAAATGATATTTTGTAATAAATAATAATTAAATTTATTATACATTAAATTTTCAATTAAGCTAGACTCATATTGATTGAAATAAAAATTTGAAAATGAAAATCTAAAAACTAATTTCTTTCAAAAGTTAATTATAAAAACCTTTAAAATATTACATTATTTTAAAATTATTATTATTTCATTTATATTACTTCAAATCAAATCAAATTTAAAAGATTGATTTAATAAAATAATAGTTCTTATTTAATATAGGAATTTTAGATTTTATAGTTATATTAATAAAATTAGGATTTTATAATTGATTAATTTCAATTAATAGGTTGTAAGACTATGAAATTACATTTTAAAAGCTAGTTATGAAATCGAGTATGTTATATAGAAAGTATAGAAATTATTAGATCTTAAAGTTAAATTGAGATTAAATATAATTATTTGAGAACGTTCGAGATTTAAATTTATTAAACTACGAATAGAAGTTTTTGTTTTAACGATTTAATTATACCCTTATGCTGTTTGAGAAAATCGAGGGTTCATTTGAAAGAGATATAATACTAGAGATAGATATTAAGACTATAAAATGAGCTAGCGTTCTTATTCGTTTGCTTGTATATGTATTTAATTATTCTCTTGTTGAAACCTAATAGACTAAGCCTCGGATTTTATACATCTTGTTCCTCCTCAAAATAAGCGAGTACTAACTATCTGGCCTTATTACATGTCTCAACTCCAGCCCATATCAGATCATCAAGATAATTATCGTTGGTTTGAGAAGGATATGGAAGACGTAGCACCCACGCATTCGTAGGTCCTAAATGTCTAATTGTATTCTGTTTAAAGAGCTAGCTAAGTACAAAAAGTTGCAGGTCTTATATGAACGCTACAGAAAGAGCTAGTCTCTTTCGCTTTCGCTTAGGGCTTGTAATACAGTAGCTAGTGAATTGAAGCTATTCACTAAAATCGGAACAATCATTGTTCACACAATCATGGTAGAGGATGATCGTTCACTTCCATCAATTTCCTATTCTAATTTACGATGTATACTAGTAGTATCATGAATACGCCTTCTCCGTAACCCTGGATAGATTTCATATTTTCCCACCATCTCAGAACGAATACTTTTCTCAATCCCTTTTTACCTTCTACCTACTCAATTACTCTTCACATAGCTACCTCTCACTTCTCCCACCCCAAATCTCAGGGGCTCTCCCATAATACCCGAGCTCACATGCTCCTTGCAGAGTGGGGCCTCACTCAGACTCATATCCACTTTTGACTCATTCATATATCTTCCCCCCACTCATCCCCATCTTTTCCACTCAAACTTTCCATATTTTCTCTAAAATCTCTTGATTTTCCCACTGCTACCGTCAATTCCAACATATACTCAAAATAAAGCTCCACTTTCATCAAATAAGAATACAACAAACAGGGCTTGTGGTTTAGTGGTATAATGTTCCCTTAGCATGGGAGAGGTCCGGCGTTCGATTCGCCGCTAGTCCAGTGTATTGAGCTCTTCAAGGGCATAGCTTTTTTGTTCTTTGGGAAGAGGAGGGAAAAAGGGGGCATGAAGAGGGGGATTCCGGGTTTTGGGGTCCAGCGATTTCGTTTCAGGTGATGCATGTATAGGCATAAGCCTCTCTAGATAGAAGAGCCGAAGCATCTAGAGATGAGTAGATGAATGTATATTTTGAAGTTGTGAATGTTGGTTGATGCGGATATCTACATACCTACATTAGGCTACATATTCTTATTGATCAACCACCTTATCATTTCTCTTTACTTGACAAATAGGGTTGGGTATGATATCGTATACTGTTCATTAAGTTTTTCAAAGCATAGGATTTGTTCTATTTGAGTTAGAATTCAATACTTTCTAAACTGGGTTGAGAAGGGAGAAGAGGGGTATTAGCATTAGCAGACTAATCAACGTATAACAAATTTTTATGTCTTTGTAGGCGAGGGAATCGAGATCTTCAGAGAGAGAAAGGTTAAAAATCAAGGCTCTTAGTCATTTCTGCTTGTGACCGTAGAGTTTCGGCCGCTCTAACTCTTCAACTCGTAGGTTACAACCCACAGTCACGTGATTTATTGTATTCCCGAATGGAGAGAGTACGAAGCATTTCGAATGTCAAGCGGTGAAGGAGATGCATGTAAGTCGTATGTGTGAGGGTCAGTGAGATAGACCCACAGCATCTAGGATTGATGTGTATCTTCCCGTCACCACAC